ATCTGGCAGACACAATATCCCGCTCACCGTCGCTGTACACTACTCTAACGGTATGGAAAAGCATGACAATGTGAACCTATACAAAAAGAAGAAGCAGCCATTTTGCTGAAGGAAAGACGTTCCATTTCACTAAGTGACATGCTCTAGCAAATGAATAAATAGAACAAAAAGTAATGGATAACCTGTTTTGCCTTTTATACAAAAGGGAACATCTAGGCACTTATGTCTGGGATCGTTTATAACACTATATACAGGTACACTTCAACAATAACAAACATGTATAAATTTGGTAATGCAATGGTTCATGGATGATGACTGTGTGGCCGACCGCTGTGTGATGGTCATGTTTATGGGGTCTTAGAGTTATTCCTTCTCAAAGTGTTCTCCAGAATAGATAGAATAAGAAAGAATTGTAGATCCAGCTGAGAGGCTATGAGATATGGCCTTTCAGAGAGGTCAGATACACACAATGCTATGTATATTCCCACCCCTAGGACCTACAAAATGATGCAGGGATTTTTTGTATTCACCGTAAGACCCTTTTCTCCATTGTTTTTTGAAGGACGTAGCACTGTAGATTCAGAACATGTGGATATATAGCCACCTAGAAGGGTTGTGTCCCACGATGAACAATAGAGAATATAAGGTCTCGTTCACATGGGTGTTAAGTACATCTGTGCACAGGGTGTTTCATGCATGCACATGCAGGCAGTCCTATTCATGTCAATTGGGATGCAGCGGCTGTATGGACAAGCTGCTGCTGCCCATTTGACAGCAGTGTTGGCACGGGTCCCTGAACGTACATTGTCTGCGTTCCATGACAAGCATCTGCACCCACACAGATGTCAAATTGGGAGCAGTGGCTATGTCCATGCAGCCACTGCACCCCAAATTACATGAATAGGACTGCCTGCAAGGGCCACTCTTCACATGGATGTACTCTTTACATATGTCCGTAAATAAGGCTTTATAATCTCAATTGTTCGCGGAGAGACACAGCACCCTCTAGGTGTACATCCTGTGCGAGAAAACATGGTCCTTCACACAGGTGTATGCTCAAAGTAGGCCCGTGTGAACAAGGCCTAAGATTTTTTTATACTCTGCAAAAAAATCCTCTTCTCCAATGTAAATTGAGGGACTTCCCCTCCACTTGCGCTGTGCATTAAAGGATAAGTTCATCTTTGCTGAAAGAAAAATTACAAATGCACAATCAGCAGATCGCGGGTGCAGTGTCAGGCTCCTGCAGACTGTCTGTATAGCCATCTGCCCCTACCTCTGATAAATACAGGCAGTTACTGAATGAAAGGAAGATCAATGAACTACATAGATCACTCATCAGTGCCCTGGTAGTTCATTGAGCACTACAGGCCGTCAGCCGCAAAGGCTGGCAGTACTTATAGTTTATTAATTCACAGAACTCTGTGAACAACTGATGCAGCAGTGTGGGCAGAGCCCCGCACAGCCATGCTCTCTATGAATTGTGGCAGCGGGAGTAGGGAAAGGATCCCCGGTCTGCTTTCACAGGGAGGGGTAGTTACATGAACATATCCTAGAAGGAAAAAAAAGTGTTCCTTCCTCTATTCTCTTTCCTACAACTGAGGCTTCTAGAGGTAGAGCCCCTAGAGGGAGATGGGCCCTTTTCATTTTACTTCATTTGTACTCCCCCTTTAGGCAGCAATTTGCCCTCAGGTTATGGATCTATAGTGCAGTGTCCCCCAATTAATGATGAAGAAACCTGAATCATTCAAGACAGGTGCTCACTTAAGTTGAAATGACATTCAAAAAGGGACTCCTGCAAGTTTTATGTACTAAATGCTTTGTCAATGGGCATTTGTGGACTTATTTATGTATCTGGAAATGAGAATTTTCCCGTGGTCGCATGTTTCGGATTTAAATTAGAGGCAAGGAATTTTGTAATGGATCAGTGCCGCCACCATTTCCACCACAGGACAGTAAAGGCTTTCAGCAGCCGTTAAAGATCAATGGGGAAGTGAAATGAGATGGACAATGGCCTCTCTCTTCAGGGTCCTGCCCAGCAAGAGAAGAACATGTGAAATGTTTAAGAAAATCATTTATACACAACATGCAATAAGTGCCGTAATACTAACAAGCAGAAAAATTCTGCGAACCAGGAATAGGAGCTCCCATCCTATGGCAGGCCACTATGTCTGTTGTCAGGCTGCATCGACATATCTAGAATCAGACTTCTCACCCAGACGTGCCAACACAGTGCCCTTTACCCCAAAATAAACATGTGGAAAAATCTGGGTACACAGCCAAGGGCAGGAGGCATTGAGATTGTGTCACCACAATAGCAAATCAAAAATAGCAGCAAGATAATAAACACAAGACAAACATAGGGTCACATTCATCGCCCATGGGCCAGAGGATTGCATTTCATACTGAATAACATACAAGCAATAAAAAGCAGAAGCAAGGCAGAAGAAGTGCAATATTACCCTAGTACAAGGTTCAAAACTCGAGCTGGTCGCATAACCGGTCACTCTGTTACGCTGTGTCGGTGTCACAGAGTTGAGGGCAGCGTCCACTTTTATACGTGATCAAATATATAAAGGTAAAGTCAATAGGGGAAAAAAAAAAAAAAATAGATGCCTTTTATGTAAAAATATGTCAGACATTAAATGGGTCTAAATCTACCTTCTAAACTACCATTCCCATAATCCTCAGCAAGACTAGCATACCTTAAATGGACAAAAAGGATTTCTTGTGCTTGCTCAATCTTCATGCAAAGGGAGCATAACTTGTAATAAAAACATATTTTACATAATAAAAGAAAAAATATCTATGCTTAATGCATTAAAATTATTCCCAATGGAATAAACAGAAGCAGAATACAGGTTATTTGGATATTTTGCCCAACCATTATAAAAATCTAATGAGAGCTCTAGAATTTCCAGTTAAGACTTTCCATAGGTTTAAAAACAAACTTCAAGAAAGTTTTTTATTTTTATGCAATAAAAGTGGAAGCTGAGGGTATATATGAAGCGGATAGGAAGTGATTCAAAGCTGATATTCTCTTTTTCCAGAAATATGTTAATAAATAAATAACGATAAATAAAATAGTCCAGTGTATCTGCATATATGCACAGTATATCTGCCAAATAGCTGAACTGCCTATGTTGATACTTGTGGTCCCAATTCCGTCGATCCCTAAAGCAGACGCTTTACATTCACCCTTCATGTGAAGACTAGCCCGGCCGAAATGGAAATGACAGAAGTCCCGTGCCATTTCCATCCCTCAACCTTTGGAATCGCTCTTTTGCTCTCAGAAGAACATCCGTGATATAATGACACACTGTACTAGTTGTTTGCGAATGACGTGAAATCATAGAGCGGACATTTGACAATGCCAGTGCTGGAATGCAGAGCTACGTATTCTTCTATTCCTGATCCCGATAAACCGCACTTCGGTCTCTCAATACGGCAGCTAGCTACCAAACCAAGCAATTCTTCTAGCTACCTCCAATTTCACAAAGCAGATATATGGCAGTGTCAACCAAGGCCTGCTGGTCAACAAAAAGCCCTTTCTACAGGTGCCGGAGGCATGGCGCCCTCTCCTGCACTGCCGGCTCATCTATGACAAAGTCGTAAGATTTCTGTAGTATCTAGCAGCATTCCCTTATATATACGTAGAGATTTGTCTTTACCTAAACAGACACATTCAGGATTGGACAGTCATTTAATAGTTAGCAGCTGTGGCAGCTCTTGTAAATAAAATGGGGGAGGGGGATTGCCCAAATGCAGTGGGGGGCATCTGATTTACTAGCACATCGACCTGGTCTTTCGCAATGCTTGTCAATAATAAAAGGCATTTGTCTCTTCTTCTTGATGCCATGACAGGATGGCATATTAATACTTTAGTTAAAAATTAAGCTGTTCAGTCATTAGTCCAAATTCTGCATCTGAGGATATTTTGAAATTATTTAATAATATTATTCCATGTTTGTAACATATATAGAAGAACCTGGTCCTTATCGCCTGCTGGGCAACTATAGGTTTCTCCAACCTTGATCCACAACAGATGGATTGTTGTGCAATAACTGCAGAAACAGAACTGTCCCCCACTGCATTTAAGAAGGACCTCCACCAATTAAACTCATTTGGAGTTTAGAAAGGATAAAAAAAAAAAAAAAATCATAATAAAATAAAACAGACAATAAGTTAGTAGATGTGGTCACCAAACACTGGCGTGAGGTTCATCAGCCACTGCTCAAAGTAGAGCTGCAGACAGAGCATTGTAACCCAAAACAAGGAATTACATAAAGACAAAATCCCTAAATTGTTTTCAAGCTTTAAATTACTCAAAGAAAAAAAAAAAAAAAAAATATATATATATATATATATATTATAAAATCTAGCTTCTCCCATGTATTGCTCCATCCAGGAGACAGGACACTTCTCAGATTCTGCACCGTCTGAAGTTGATTGGACCAGTGCTGGGTGGCAGTGGAGTCTTCACGGATTAGTTCAAGAATTTTGTGATGACAAAGACATCCGCTAGGAGCGATTGTGCCTTTTGCTCCATACTCCCCTCTCTTCTACTCCTTTGTTCTGAGGGTGCCTCTGCTTATCTCCTCAGCACCTATCCACTCGGGGCACCAGCCTAGACCCCGAGTGCTGCGTCGAGCTGACATCGGCAAACGGTTTGCGGGTGTCGGAGGTAGAGCAATGGCGCAGGTTTACACACAGGATTGAGAAAGATCCTCGTTTCGAGGAAGAGCTGCACAAATCTTTCTTCAGAACAATAACGCTGAGAAAATCTCAAGTTTGAAACACCATACCCAGTATTTCTGAGCAAAAACGTCCTCGGGCAGCTGGACGAAGACCATCCCTCAACACAGCTGCTGCGTATACAGTTCATTCTAGAATATAAATTTTGTATTCATAGTATACATATATATATTTATATATGTATCTACATATAAATCTTCTCTATACACATATTGCACACTTTCTCCCGCCATTCGTTCCCGTCACCCTCATTGGTAAGGTTTGTCCTCCGATTCTGACACATAGTCTCGTGAAACAATGCCATTTTGGAGGTTTATCAAGGAATCTTTCATCTGGGGAGGGAAATAAAGCATCAACGATTAGACAAAAAGAACAAAAAGAAAGTCACAAGATCACACCGAGCAGAATTTATAAAAACTGCAGCAGTCAGAATCAGGAGCAGCTGTGCATGACAACCAATCACCTTGCATCTTTCATTTACAAGGATTAAAGGATAAGTTCATCTATGAAAAAAAAAACCCACATTTTTTCACAGGTAATAAAAATGCGCATTTATTATCTTTTTTTCTAAGGAACCTGCAGAGCATTGCACCTACAATCAGTATCTCACGGCTGCAATCTCAGGCTCCTACAGACTCTCAGCATAGCTCTCTGCCCTCACCTAGTACAGGCAGACAATTAGCCGACAGCAGGAAGATCAATGGACTTTAAGAGCGCTCACCAGTGCCCTTGTAGTTCATTGAGAACTACAAGCCTTCAGCTGCAATGGCTGAAGGTAGTTGTAGGCATTCATTTACAAGAAACCGTGAATGAATGACGCAGCCGTGTCAAATTGTGAAAGTGGGTGCTGGGAGAAGATCACCCGCCCGCTGTCACAGAGAGGGAGGACAGAGACTGCAGATGCTTGAAAGTGTTACTTGTGCCACTCTAAAAGCGGGTGGAACATGTAACATGTTCCAAAGGTGAAATTATCCTTTAACTGAACAAGCTGAAGATAGAAGCCAATTGGTTGCTATACACAGCGGCTCCAGATTCTGTCTGCTCTGATTTTGAGAAATGTCTGCTCACTATGTTTTATATGAATATAGGTATCCCCCCCCCCCTTAAAAAGATGATAGGTTACCAGAGCCACAATGGCTCAAAAGGACCAGAACTTTTTTCTCACTATCTTTTATTGGAGCAGAAAAATTGTGTTTCAGATAATCCCATAGCCATGACAAAGGCCAGGATCAGCTGAAATGCAAAAGTGAGTCCTTTCTTTTTGACTCTGCAATCTACTTCAATAAAAGATAATGAGATAAGCAGCACAGTGGCTAAATGGTTAGCACTTCTGCCTAGCAGTACTTGGGTCGTTGGTTCGAATCCCAACCACGGCACCTCCTGCCTGGAGTTTGCATGTTCTCCCTGTGCCTGTGTGGGTTTCCTCTGGGCACTCCAGTTTCCTTCCACACTCCAAAGACATGCTGGTAGGTTAATTAAATAATCAGAGATCCTCCTGCGCTATAAATGGAAAAAAACTAACCTTAAGCTGCCAACACTCACCTACTGATACCCAACACAGTGTAAATTACATAAATAAATAGTGTAGCGCTCAAAATAAATAAATACTGAATATAAATAAGTGACCAATTCATATAATACAATCTATAAAATAATCCGAAATTTCATAAAATTAAAACCACCTTGTAGTATTAATAAAAAAAAAAATATAAATAATGGCAACTTATAATAAATAACTGTGTATCATGTAAAACATAAGTGGTCACACTCTAAATCAATCAAGTGTCTAAAAATTTTTTTTTTAAATATCGTGCTCACACACCTACTAGGAAAAACCTGGTCACTATTTTTCCTAGTAGGTGTGTGAGCACGATATTTAAAAAAAAATTTTTTAGACACTTGATTGATTTAGAGTGTGACCACTTATGTTTTACATGATACACAGTTATTTATTATAAGTTGACATTATTTATATATTTTTTTTATTAATACTACAAGGTGGTTTTAATTTTATGAAATTTCGGATTATTTTATAGATTGTATTATATGAATTGGTCACTTATTTATATTCAGTATTTATTTATTTTGAGCGCTACACTATTTATGTAATTTACACTGGTAGGTTAATTGGATCCTGTCTAAATTGTCCCTAGTATGTGTGTATGTATGAATGTGAGTTAGGGACCTTAGATTGTACACCCCTTGAGGGTTAGGGACTGATGTGAATGTACAATATATATGTAAAGTGCTGTGTAAATATATAAGCACCTGAAATAAATAAAAATGTTGTGGATTCTTGTCTTTGTATGGTGAGAAGTTTCCTGAGCACCACCAACATAAGCAGATTTGGTATTAACAGGCTGAATGTTACCACGCACTGGATGGTTTGTTTATGGGGCTCTCATCATTTTATTTACAAGCAAGCAATAACTTATGTATGAAACATGCAAGTGCAAATCACAGCTTGATAACATCAGGAAACATTTCCTTAAGTCACCAGTAGGTGGCACTGGTCTAGCACTGACTGTGAGTAAAGGGCAATGTTTGAGATAAAACAGCAAATGTTGTGATTAATAGTTATTAGCACCTCTCTATTCTGCTGTGCAAGATCTGTCAATAAATATCCTATAGAAATTATGAGAGAAATTAATGTAAAAGGTTGAAAATTTCTCCAAACAAACTCAACTATACCATTCAAGTCTATGATCTGTTCGTGAATAATGTGCCAGTACCAGGACCTCTGAAGATATTGGCCTTTCTTACCTGATCCAGCAGCATGACAGATGACTTTACAATCTGCCTCCATTTTTGAAGCTCTGTGTCGTGGTGTTTTTGCTGAGACTCCAGCAGCTGGGTCCACTCGGCCTGTGACTGCGGGAGGGGGCTGCAAACGCACAAACAATACAGTTAGTACCACCAAGGATTTTGCTCAGGAACTGTGTTCAGGTTTACTCCTTGTGCGTTTACCTTTCCTGGAGTCGGAGGCCTTGCCATGTGCTCAGGGCTTGAGTGCTATATTCCAACATCCAGAGCTTGTAGAAGAGCATTACATTGAGCATGACCAGCAGCACCAGCCTGTAGAAGCAGAACAGAATCTATGTGAGTTAGGAGGTATTAGACTAGACCTGGAATAACTTTACGGTATGGAAGAAATGTCACAGGATAAACACTTTCCTATCAGAGTAAATGACTGTCACCATACCCTGTTTATATGATCGCTATCAAGATATGGTAATTTGATAATTGCCATTTCCCTAACACATCTTAACCGCTTAGGATTTACCCCCCCCCCCCCCTTCATGACCAGGCCATTTTTGCGTTACGGCGCTGCATTACTTTAACTGACAATTGCGCAGTCATGCGACACTGCACCCAAATGAAATTTACGTCGTTTTTTTCCCATAAATTGAGCTTTCTTTCGGTGGTATTTGATCACCTGCGCATTTTTTATTTTTTGCGCTACAAGCATTTTTAGAAAAAAAAAAATATTTTGGACTTTTTGCTATGAAACATGTCCAGTAAAAAACTTGAAAAAATCCAATTTCTTGTGAATGATACCAGCAGTGTGCAACCCTCCTTTCCAGATTTGCATCATGTGCTGCAGGAGTGGGCTTTGTGCTGGTCTGTACCTGCCCTTGGCAGCCTTCAAGGTCTTACATTTTTTTTTTTTAAGAAATAAAGTAATAACCGAATTCAGTGATAGTCGCCGTCTTTCTGCTCACTGAAGACCGAGAACTGAGCAATAAGGATTCTTTGATCGGTCAGTTCTCGGTCTTAGAGGCATTAGGGGACAGATCCACCTGGGTATGAATGTTTGTGTTTTTTTTATTCCCAAACTTCCCTTTTAACCTTCCTCTATTTTATCAATTTAAAAAAAAAAAAAAAAAAAAAAAAAAAAAAAATGAAGGTGCTTTTTCAGCCTAGGTCAAGATAAAAAAGGATGAAACTACTGAAATCACACCTGATCTGACAACCTCTGCTTAAATACAGCCACAATCAGAAGAGAGTACGTCTGTGATCCCAAACTGGTTGCTGTGGATACCCTACCAGCCATGTTATTTACACCAAAATTGAGCCAACTTCGGTTTCTGCTTTTACACGGTGCTTCTACTTTTCCATTCCATCAAAGACATGCTGTAATCACCAGGCTCAATGCCAAATAACCCAAGGTAAATAGTCTACATAGGGAACAATAGCTCTTCTTATACCAACAAAGAATAAAAAAAAAAGTTGGGAACCAGATGGATGAATGGATTTCCCATATTTCTCACGTAGAAGTCATCTAGTTACAGTGATACATTCTGAATAGGAGCCTATAAATCAGAGGTTCTAAGCTTTATCTACAAAAGTACAAAAGGAATCTTCCAAGAGCTATCACAAAGACTGATAAAATGGTTACGTTTCGGGCGAAGGTTATAAGTACATCACTAAGGAATGTAACATCTGTACAACTAGTATTGATAGTCTGATAGCATACATTCAGGTAGGGAGTATAGCTCAGGCCCTACAGACCCCCCCCCACAATGACACAAACAGAAGCGCAGGTTCATACAATGACATACACACAACTGATGACCAGCAGGAGTTTAGAGATGCTCTGGAGCTGACTATGCTTCTCCTCCGGAACATGTCGCGTCTGAGTGGAGCCTAAAAGTATAAAAAATAAAATGTATTACAACACAGAAGTTACAAATGTACTACATTTCTTGTAGAGTAACAGACGTGGCAAATATCTATATAATCTATATAATAATGTTACAAAACACAGCTGTACATAATCATCTGCAAGTCTTTTCACTAAAACATTACTTCACCATAAAATTAGATTTATGAACTTGGTAATTCTTTGCTTCTCTGATCTCTTAGGTGCTTCTGATTGGGATCCATTCAAAACAATTTCACTGCTGGAATCCTTTCCTACTGGATTTATGATCCAACCTCAATGGCATGAACTGTGATCTCTGTGCCTCTCCTGTCTGCTCATCCTGGCCTGATTAGAGATGCATTATTTAATAGCTACATATTAAAAAATAATGAACACAGGGGAACTAACAAAACAAAATACATCACTTTTGTGGCGTAAATATTGCAACATTTTCCATGCACCAAAATTAACAATGTTATGAGACAATTCTTCTATGTGGTGTTGCACCGCTTGTGACAAATCATGTTAAAAGTGCTAAGTGATGGTTTCTATAAACGTTGAATCCCGTGCAGCAAAATAATAAAGTACTTGTGCCAGTGTACTAATGTAACAAAAATTTTAAATATACACTGTGGTGTGTATAGTGAGGAGAGGCAGACAGCGATGATCAGCACTGCAGCAAGGAGAGGAGGATGTGTATGAACATGTAGCAAGACACAGAAAAGAGAAGATTACGGAGGATCCAAGTGAAAGATTACATTTTGATCTGCACCTAACGTTTGGTACACACCAGAGTGTGCTCCAATTTGATATTCCACAAATTAATGAATTGGCATGAATCTTTTATTTATTTTGTTTCAGGAAATACTAATCAAGCAAGGATATAAAAATGGATCCATTTTTCAGTGCATGTCAGTCTTTGTTATTCCGTCCTCAACATTTAAAATAACTATGGCTAAAATCAGAAACTGACAAATGATGCCGTTTTAACAAAGCAGTTTTTGTCTCTCTGAGTCTCCCAATATGTTTTTTACCCTTTGATCCTGCCTGTAGATTGGCTATTTTCCTGCTTCCTGTAACAGGCCAAGCTGTCCAGCAAAAAAGTGACAGCTACATCTTAAGACTGCAGGGGATGCTTGCAACTGTCAGATTTAATTCATATGGTTTAAACACTTATTTTTACAAAAAAGAAAATACTGTTACTGGAAATAAGGTAGACAAAGTAGATTATACATAGTTACATTGATTGTTCAAGCTTGGACCAATGTAACTATGAATATACCATACATGGCTGATACTCCTGGAGCTGGAAATCACCAAAGTAGACAACTGCAGTGATCTCCATCTGCTTCTGGTTCCTGAGCTGAGCAGCTGGTCTGATGCCTTGTGAGCACAGGAGGTTAGGCCTCTTAGCATGAGCATCATTCAGAACACGTTTTGCATTACCTGAATGAATGAAAAGCATTATTTGATTGTATAAGGTGGAGTGTGTGATGTCGCCTCTCCACCTTGTCCAATAACCAAATGCTTAGCATTCATTTAGAAAATGTAATGCATTCTCTGAATGGCGTTTTTTATCAAGTGGCCAACCTCCTGTGTTTCGCAACTGTCTATTTCAGTGATTTCCAGCTTCCCTGGGGGCATCCCAAGGCAAACAATGGGGAGCATACGGCAACCACTCACTTCTATCTACAGCATGTTCAGTTAAGTTTTGAGAACGAAAGATAGAAGTTCATTGGTCACCATGTACAGCTGCTCCAGATTCTTGTTACTCCACTTATTATAAATTCTCCTCAATATGCTTTAAAATTTGAGGTATTCTAGAAGATGAAATAAAAAGAAATAACTTCTCCAGAAGCTAGAAACTTACCATTTGAAATGCTCTAGCATTTCACTGACCCCCTGCCAAGATGCTGGTGTCACAAGTCCCTTTTATAAACCACGGATGGGTTAGACCCTCTGTCAGCATTCCCAAGCCCCCCCCCCCCCCCCCCCCCCCCCCCCCCCCCCCCCCCCCCCCCCCCCCCGAGAGATTTCCTATCACTTTCTGTCTAGGTGAAGGTTGTCGTACAGAACAAGGAGGAGAGAGGAATCCTCACCTATAGGAACATGGACTGTACTTAAAAGGTCTAAACATTCCTAACAATGTATAAAATTGAAAAAAAAGTTTTGTTTGGACTTAAGAATTAGATATGACAGCAGATCTTGAATCAAACAATTCTGCACTCCAGTATTCATAAATGTGGCCTTTATCTTAATATCCATACACACACTTGTGACATATCACATGGTACACATCCTTGTTAGATAACCATGGTTTATAGATGCCTGATGTCACACTGCCAGAAAGTCAGACAGAGTACAACTTATCTGACCACTAACAAGAAGATTATCTCTGCATTACTACCTTTCCTTTTGTGATTGGAAAAATCCATTCTCTAGAAGAAAGCACTAGACTATTAACCCACAGGGTGTCATTAAAATCAATATCAATTTCTCCTGCTTTTATTTTTATTAATAATTTAGACACAAACATGTCAATCAATCTATTTACTCGACACTGGAGTTGCCCATCACTTGGAGGAACCATTCTATACAAAACTAAGAAAATGTTCTGACTGTCATTAACCACTTCCAGACCGGACACTTTTACCCCCTTCCTGACCAGGGCAATTTTCAGCTTTCAGCGCTATCACACTTTGAATGACAATTGCGCAGTCATGCAACACTGTACCCAAATGAATTTTTTACCATTTTTTTTAGACAGATAAAGCTTTATTTTGGTGGTATTTATTCACCGCTGGGATTTTTATTTTTTTTGCTATGTAAATGAAAAAGTCCAAATATTTTGAAAAAAAAAAGTTTTTTTATAAAATTTTGCACATAAATAATATTTCATCATAAATCTTGGCCAAAATTTATTCCGTTATCTTTTTTGTAAAAAAAAAAAAATCCAAATTAGTTTATAACCAAAAATTATTATAATTTTTAAACTTTTTTTTTACATTTTTATATTTTTTTTTTTTTTTTTTTTTTTTTTACATACTGTCACCCTAGCAGTACAATGTCCCCATGGTGACACTGTACTACTTGTGGGGGGTGATGAAGATTTTATTTATTTTTTTTTTACACTGATTGCTTTTACACCCATATAGGATGTAAAAGCAATCATTTCTCTTTCTCTGTGTCTGCATTCTTGCAGTCATTGAGAAGTACTGAGTGAGCTATGATTGGTCACAGCTTGTCACATAGTACAAGGCTGTTGTGAATAGCCCTGTACCATGTGACCTCTGTGATCATTCACAGATTTCACACGTAGTAAGCAATGATGTCACAAGTGACATCTTGCATACTACTTTGCATGTGATCACTGATTGGCCAATCAGTGATCACATGATCGGGACCTCGTACAAAGGTCCCGTCTGACGATCGGTGTTTCACTGTGTCCGGAGGACACAGCGGGCACCGGATCACGGTGCTGCGCGCCCCCAGGGAGCGCGCACAAGCAGGGTGCAGGGAGGCCGTTTATAAATGGCCACCCGACCCTGCGCTGCCACCGTCCAGCCGTTTATATACAACGGCCGGTCCGGAAGTGGTTAAGCAGAAAAAGTAAAATGGCTGAAATTTGCACTAGGTCATTAGCTGTGATCACTTTCTATCCCATTACCAACACAAAAACACTGCTGTACAGATCTGCTAGAAGACGCTACTTCTCCGCCAATCTGTCTTTGTATGAAATATCTATAAAAAGCAGATCTGTCTTTGGACTTGGTGATTAGACAGTATGTTGAAACTTGTGTGTCACATGCCTGGTTCCTCAGTCTGCTGTGGTTTCTCACGCTTGTTACTACGTTATTACAGAACACAAGAAGTGATTCACGACCTACAGTAGGGGACCAGGAAGTGTCAGATAGCAATGGTGCCCAAAGCTTCCCAACAGAGAGTATTTGACACAATGCCCCTTCTAAGTATACAACCTTTACAGGTTACTCGTTACTGTGGAGACAGTTTTACTTTAAAGCGTAACTAAACCCTCCTATTGTTTACAGCCAAGAAAGCTGCCATCTTAGCCTCTGCTTAATCTGCAGTTGCTATGGTGCTGGAAATGTCAATTATCAGCCATTTGAGGAATTGACAGTTTGTTTGAGAACACAAGCAACTGTGACAGTTATTCACAGCATGCTTTAAATGTAACATTTTGAGAAACCATTAAATCGATGGGTTTAGTTCCCCTTAAATTGCAGAAAACCTTTTAATTAAAATGATTTTTACAATGTGGTCAGGTGATCTGCATCACGTTACATCATGTCCATGTGGAATGCAGTAAAGTTCAATATACATGGCTGCTCCCTCTGACCTGCTACATGTCTGACATGGTGTTGTCTTTCCTCATCAGTGGGTGTTGTAACCGGACTGAGCACCTCCTGTAGATGAGGAATTCTTAAGTGAGTATGAGGACGCTTCCTTCGCCTCGTTGATGAAATCTTGCTGCTCTTCTCTTTAGGGGACTGTCTGTGAAGATCGGACAGGTACGCCGTCTCTGCTTTGGTTAGTTCGTTCTCTGAAAAAACAAAAAGAAAAAAAAAGACAAAATTTTTACAGCCCAGTTAAAGTCCTGCACCTTTGTATCTCTTTTATAGACATATAACCCAAGCATGTTATTTGTAACTGATTTTGTGCTTGGAAATGCTTTAGAATACAATTTTCTCAGTGCAAGTTATTTTTCCTGCACTCCCAATGCAGTAGTCTGTGCTGGCAGAGCTGTTTAAAGGTTAATGTCTTTTTGTAAAAATAACATATACTTACCTGCTGTGCGCTGTGGTTCTGCACAGAGCAGCCTGGATCCTCCTCTTTTCGAGTCCACTGCAGGCTCTCCTGGCTCCTCCTGTCTGTTGGGTGCCCCCACAGAAAGCAGCTTGCTATGGGGGGCACCCACTGCTCCATGTGTCTATTGACACACGGAGCCGCAGCTTGGACTCACCCCCTCCTCATCATTGGCTGACTGGCTGTGATTGACAGCAGCGAGAGCTAATGGCTCCCACTTGCTGTCTCAGCCAATGAGAAAGCAGAGACCCAGGACAGCCAAGGCTATCAATTCACATCACTGGATTGCGATTAGGCTCGGGTAAGTATTGAGGGGGCTGGGGGAGGCTGCTGCACACAGAAGATTTTTTACCTTCATTCAAAGAATCCTTTCAAACTACTTTAAGGATATTGTTGAGGACTTTTTTTTTTCTCATGTATCAGATTTTTTTTTTTTTTTTTTTTACACATTCTTTTGAGCCCTGTTAGGCTGGGTTCACATCTGAGATGGTTCAGCATGCTGCTTTTGTGAAGGCACATCAGCCCATATAGTTGAATGGGCTGATTTGTCTTCATTTCCTGCAGAAAAATAATGGTTTGTTCACCTTTATTTAAAACACGGCCGCACTCCTATGCCCCTTTTCAGCCAACAGTGGGCTAAAGCCTGCTGTTGGCTGGCTCCACTCAGCAGGTCCAGGCTGGGAAACGATCCACCCAGATGCCTTCACTAGCAGCTGGCTCAGCCACTCCCTGCAGGGTGAAGACCGAGGTCTGAGCGATCAGCAGTGTTTGATTGCTCAGTTCTCGGTCTTAGAGGAGGTGGGGGACAGATGCAGCTGGGAACGGTGCTGCAGTCATCTAGACAAATAAGATGGTTTATATTTCTATATTCTCATACTTCTCTGCAGGAACATGTGCAATTTACATGCATTCCCGTACCCTCACAGATGTGAACCTTGCATTAATGCCTCATTTTTACACAGAAGTACAAATATTTGGGAACTCCAAAAACAAAAAGTGTTTCCTCACACAATGGCTTGCTGCTTTCTGCAACTGAATGGAGATTACAGTAAGTTTTCAGTTAAAATGCAGACTTTACTTAGCGGTGTTTGCCTTTAACAAAACAAACATATGCCAGAGAGCAGCGACAGAGCTACTAACCCAAATGGTGGAAATATTCATCAAGTCCGCTCCAGAAATTTTTCTCAATGAATGTTTTAACAAGTCCCCACGGCTGCTTACGGTACCGGAGTTCAGTTGAAATCCTAGGAATGAAAATACAATGATTATAAAATTGACCTACAGGCACATCCAGCCAGGTTGCCCCTGTCGTCCGACTGCCCTGTGGTTTTGCTGTACCTTAGCCGGCTTTTGTTTCGGGCCACTCTGGTCAGCGTGTAGCGGTTGATAGTGTAGAAGTAATCGTGATAAGGTATATCATGTGTCAGCACTTCAGCATCAACTACATAACATTCGCTCTCCTGGCTGGCCTTGTATAGCGTCTGGAAGACAGATAAAGTCACGCTGAAACACAAGACTTTATTTAGCAGGAGGAAGTATCAACTAGAGGGTGAAAGGGAGGTCATAGCTATAGCTGTGCTAATGTGCTGTATCATGGGTCACACACCTGGGTCTCCGTGACCGTTGCCGATTTAGGAGCCAAAGGATTGGTTAGTGCAATGGTGTATAAAATAACCCGGGTCTGGTTTCCATTCTCCTCCTTCTTCCATGGGTGAAATATCACTTCTGAGAGCACAAAGAGATGGTGTCAGAGTAAGTGACCCTTCCTACTGAGGTCAGAGATAATCTCAAAATGTACAGTCATGGCCAAAAATATTGTGCCCCCGGCATTTGTCAGATAATGCACCACTTCAAGCAGAAAATTGCAATTAAAAATGTTTCGGCATTCTCATGTTTATTTCTTTTGTTTGTATTGGTATGGTACAAAAAAGTGGAGAAACGAAAAAACAAATCTGACATATTCCACGCAAAACCCTAAAAATGGGCTGGACAAAATTATTGGCACCTTCTAAAAATTTTAAGAAATAAATAATTGCATTCCAAGTTTGTGATGCTCATTTAATTTGTAATTACACTCATCTGTACCAGTTAACAGATCTTAAGCTGACCATATATTACACAATTTTGATATACAATTTTCCTTTTGATGTACCAAAACCATATAAATTTGAGGTCAAACCTAAAAGCTTAATTTTACACAGTCGGGCAGGCCCTTAAATAATTGTATAAATGTATGGCCAGCCTTTATGTTCCTGTGTCCACTGCGCGCAACGTTGTCAAGAAGTTTACAGCCCATGGCACTGTAGCTAATCTGCCTGGACGTGGATGAAAGAGAAAAATTGATCAAGGATTGCAACGAAGGATTGTTCGAATGGTGGCTAAAGAACCTCGATCAACTTCCAGACAAATTCAAGCTGACCTTCAGGCACAGGGTACAACTGTGTCAGCTCGCACTATATATTGCCCTCTGAATGAAAAGGGATGCTGTGGTTGGAGACCCAGGAGGACCCCACTGCTGACACAAACCAGATTGGTGTTTGCCAAAACTTACCCGTGTAAGCCAAAACCCTTTTGGGTGAATGTGCTGTGGACAGAAGAAACAAAATGACAGCTTTTATGGTAAAGCCCATCATTCTACTGTTTTCAGAAAAGCAAAGAGGCCTTTAAAGAAAAGAATCCAGTCCCTCCAGTCACACATGGTGGGGGGGTCACTGATATTTTGGGGTTGCTTTGCTGCTTCAGGCACTGGATGTCTTGACCGTGTGCATGGCATAATGAAATCTGAAGACTACCAAAGAATTCTGGGGTGCAATTTAGGGCCCAGTGTCAGAAAGTTGGGCCTCAGTCAGAAGTCATGGGTCTTCCAGCAGATCAACGACCCAAAGCATACATTAAAAAAACCCAGAAATGGTTTCAGACAAAGCGCTGGAGAGAACTGAACTGGCCAGCAATGAGTCCAGATGTCAATCCCATAGAGTTCCTGTGGAGAGATCTCAAAACAGCAGTTGGGAAAAGGAACCCTTCCAATCTGAGAGACCTGGAGCAGTTGGTGAAAGAAGAGCGCTCCAAAATTCCAGTAGAGAGGTGGAAGAAACTCATTGATGGTTACAGGAAGCCATTGATTTCAGTTATTTTTTCCAAGGGGTGTGCTATCAAATATTAAATGAAAGGTGCCAATAATTTTGTCCAGTCCATTTTTGGTGTTTTGCGTGGAATGTGTCAGATTTGGCTTTTTGTTTCTCCACTTTTTTGTGTCATACCAATACAAAACAAAGGAAATAAACATGAGAATGCCGAAAGATTTGTAACTGAAATAATTTTATGGGCAAAGTGGTGCATTATCTGACAGAAATGCAGATGGGACAAAAAAAACCAAACATTCTGTACGTTCTTAAAAACACTGCAAGTACAGAGAAATTGCTGATGACCCGGCCAAAAATCCAGTGACGTTCTAACCTCCCGCTGCACTACAATTCCAAGCAGTTTTATCCGTGCCAGTTCTTTACTGTTGAACACCTACCTCTTATACTCAAAAGATGAGATGGGGAGAGGCTCTATAGCACGGGGTCTCCAAACTTTCTAGAGAGAGGGCCAGTTTACTGTCCTTCAAAGTTTATGGGGTCTGGACTGTGGTCAGTGGGAGTAAACTATGCCCCATTATTAGTATTAGGGGAAGTAATAGTGTCCCATCATTGGCGTCAGTGGGAGGAAGAGTGCCCCATCATTGGCGTCAGTGGGAGGAAGAGTGCCCCATCATTGGCGTCAGTGGGAGGAAGAGAGCCCCATCATTGGCGTCAGTGGGAGGAAGAGAGCCCCATCATTGGTGTCAGTGGGAGGAAGAGTGCCTCATTGTTGGTGTCAATGGGAGGAAGAGTGCCCCAAAGTTGGTGTCAATGGGAGGAAGAGTGCCCCAAAGTTGGTGTCAGTGGGAGGAAGAGTGCACCATCGCTGGTGTCAGTGGGAGGAAGAGTGCACCATCGCTGGTGTCAGTGAGAGGACTAGTGCCCCATTGCTAGTGTCAGTGGGAGGAACTATGCCCAACTTTTGCTGACCATGGGGGAATAATGCCTCAAGGGCTGTAAAAGCAAGGAAAGGGTTGTATCTGGCCCCCGGGCCACAGTTTGGAGACCACTGTTCCACAGGCCAGTAGGTAAAGCAGGACTGACAAAACTGCTTGGGATTTCAGTGCTGCAAAGGAAGATTTGTCAGCTTATTACAGGACGTTAAAAACATGTCTGGAATTCTGGCAGGATCTCCAAGCATTTTTCTGTATTGCAGCATTTTTAAAATGTACATATATCAGCGATGTATTGAATATATGTTTTTATATACACACATTATCTAGGAACGCAATACAGCAGGATACCTACAAGAACATCTCACCTGTAAACCGCCGCTGCTCCATAAAGTCCCTTAGAAATTGAGATTCACTAAACAGGAGGCTAAAGAGTTTGTCCACGTTGAAACTAAACACTTCATTGATGTACTGCCGGCCATTCAGATCCTCATAGAAAGCCTGAACTTCACCTACAGAATGAATGAGATATGTTATCTTTATTGTCTGTGTATCCAAATCACCAACAATGCTGCCCTTCCATTCATGCGAGTACCTGGTGACTGCATTATTACTCTTGCCAAGCATGACCTCCAATTTATGTTCTTCCCCAAGCATGACCTCCAAAGTTGTGTTCTTACCAAATGACTACTTCTCTCCTTTTTTGTACATCTAAATTGTGGGTCATACAATCCTTCTATATCCTTTTATGTAACTAACAACTTAGCAGCCCTTTCTCAGCTGTCACATAGAAGGATACCAAGCAGCCCAGTCCATGTTTCTGCTAAATTAATCTGCATAGTTCAATACTAATGCCTGGTACACACAGGAAGTTTTTTTTTTCTATTGCTCAACCCAGCGGGCTAAATGGGAATAAAAAAAAATAAAAAGGAGGGTTGCCGTACTAAGCAATGTTAGTGCGGCAATCTCCCCTGCTGAACTACTGTGTTCTGGCAGGGGAAAACGTGCCTGAATCCCCCCCCACCCCCCCCGCCCTGTAAGGACACACTGATCAGCACTCGCAGCCATTGGCTTCCAGCACTGATCTGGTTGCACAGCATGCCCATTCAATAAAAGCCAGTTGTTAGACCGGCTTCTGTCGGACAGGCTGCTGTACACACGGGCCGATTGTCGGCCAGTTTCTGTTGAACCAGACGATACCGATCGATATTCAGCCCAGGTGTACCAGCCTTAACGTTGAAGAAAAGACGTCCATCAAGTTCACAAGAAATAATTTAAAAATCTTTATTCTCAGAACACTAAACCCACAAGCAATTCAGAGAAAGGCAAAAAAACCCTTTAAAAACATGGCTGACAAGAAATATTTATTATTTCCCAATCTAAGACAATCAGACACTCTCTGGATCAACACTCTATAGTTATTATTGATGGTTAATAAATGCATTACATAAAGCTGTGCATTCACCTTCGTCATGTGTCTCAGATGAATCGCTAAGCTCTGTGGGCAGGTCTTCATTATCATTTAGGTCCAAGGATGGAGACATGACCGGAGGAAGGAGCTCCACTTTCTGGTCCTCCATGTTTGCAATCAACATCTCCCTCTCTAAAGAGCTGTCAATATCGTCCACAAAAGCCCCATCATACTACAGACAAAGGAACAAAGCGAACACCACAATGAGATTGGCATGTGGAATTCCTGTACGGGTTTATGGTCAAATATCTTTAAATTATCTTACTAATTGGAGGATACACTGGGAAGATGGGGGCTTTCATAAATGTAACACTTAAAACATCAACAAGTTCTGATTAGTTCAGCAATCACTCATTTACTGATTAACCACCACGACTGTTTGTGGGATAACATCCCCTAAAAATACCTAAATAACTAGAATAGGATTTATGGTATTATATTTGCAGCTGGGCTGTGTAATGCAACATCTGGATAATGTAACCCATGTACAAGTCCTTTTCTAATTCCAGGAATGAACACAGATTTCGCAAGACTTCAAAAAAACAAACATGACTGCATTCATAAAAAAAAAAAAAAAAAAAAAAAAAAAGAAGAGTAGCAGACCAAGATGACAAACCCAGGAAAAAAAAGACTGCAAAAGGAAATCTGCAGATATAACTTCTAAGCTGAAGTGTCCAAAGTAAAAATTCATACCGCACAATCACAAATGTAATCACTTGGGCTGGGGAGAATTATCATTTATTTAATTTTTTGCACTTGCTGCAAAAATTCTTATTTCGTTAAAGGATAGGAACATGTCACACCCATATTAAGGGTGTAACCAGTTACTAACTGAGCAGCCCCCCCCCCCCCCAACGTCACAGTTAAAACAAATTAAAAAAAAAAAAAAAAGTCCATCTGGGTCTCCTCCCACCTGGCCACATCATTCATTCACAGAGTTCTGTGGATGGGAGAACTGCAGCTACCATAAACCATTGCAGCTGGGAGCTTGTAGTTCAATGAACTCCCAGGGTAATGATGAGCACTCTAGGTAGTTCATCGTTTCTTCCTGTTGTACAGTAACTGCGTGCCTGTATGAGGTATGAGCAGACCGCTACACAGAGTCTGCAGGAGCCTGACACTGCACCCACAATCAGTTGATAGTGGGTGCAATGCTTTACAGGCTCCTAATACAAATAATGCACTTTTTTTTACCTGCAAAAAGATATGCATTCTTTTTTCCAGAAAGGTGAACTTATTTGGGTTCACTGTAGGATACAGTCAAATTTTGGGGAAAGAAAGGATGGAAAAAAAAAAACAAAAAAAAACACAGGAAGGTCCATAACAAAATTGAAAGCAAAATATTTTTTTTCTATTGTTTATTTAATCATATAATGTCTTTTTTTCTGTAATCAGTGTTAATCATTTCTTCTTCTACAGATGCATATAAGTCTCAAAATGTTTGGAGCATTTAAAAAAAGGCAGAACTGCAGAAGGGCCCAAATTAAATGTTCCTGAGTGGAGATACATGTGGATGAAACTATCCAAACTTGAAGGGAGGGGAGAGGGTCTCATGGAGACAGTATGACATGAATCTTCCACAGGCGTAGGCTTACACTATCCAGAGAGGCACGATGACAAAGAATGCCAAGGCAGTAATTTAACACAAGGCCATCTAACAAAAAAACAAGGGCTGCAGAAAAACATGAGCGCCAGACATTATTTTGGCCTGAAAAACACCCACTGTAACTGTAGCTTTGGTGCAAGTCGGGCAGAGGCACTGTATAGCTATGAGATAATGAGAATCTGGTACAAGAAATTTAAGTTTAAATAGAATATGTGAAACACAATTACTTCAAAACAGAAACCCTGGGACACCAGTAGGAAACAATCTTACTCCGGTTTCTCACACATTGCATCACTGACGCAGAGATAAGCTCAGTGCCAAAATTATGATTTCATGGGCCGTATTAATCCAATGAAATCTTTCAATTACACACACAATGCAAACCACAATGATAGAAGAGTACTTACAGCTGGGGCATCACTGCTCGCTGTTGATGGCACATTACTGCTCGACAGAGAAGGGTCCGGTAGGTTGCAGTTTGTTTCTGCCTTAATTTCACTGCTGCTTTTGGAGGAATTATCGTTTACCTCAACCTCTTCCACTGGTATCTCTTCACAATAACTGCAAACAAATGACATTAAATAACCTTCTGCAAATAATGACTTCTGCAATCTAAAGGTTTAATTTATTCCATAATGCAAAGAGCAATCTGCACAGTGGATTAACCAATACAAACCAGTGAGTGATCCGTTTTAAACAGGCAGCTCATAGTAAAGGGATATCTCAGGGGTTTCAATACATGTTGCACTGTTACTGAATATATGGTATTCTACGGTGGATGAGCAGGTTGCACTATATGACCAAATTTGTGATGTACAGCGCTGAGCGAACCATTGGCGCTTTATAAATACTGTAAAATAATAATAATTTTCTTTTGTGGCACAATTTGCTTTAATTTTTTGTAATAAGTCGGACTCGCCATCTGTTTAGTACTTTGGAGTTGGCCCATTGTGGTTAAAGCAGCCTCCACTCTTCTGGGAAGGCTTTCCAATAGAAAACTGTTGCCACAAGGCTGGAAGCACACAATTGTCTAAAATGTCTTTGGGTGCTGTGGCATTAACCATGCATGGTGGCTATTGTGCTTCATTTTATGCACCTATTAAGTGGGTGTCTCCAACATCCATAATCAGTAGTTGTAGAGTTGTCCATATACTTTTGGCCATATAGTGTGTATTAACGCAAGTAAAAGCATCCATTATCATTTTCAGCCTTACCCCACAGTGTTAAAATCATCATCTGGGGGGACATAGTCCTCGTCATCACTAGTAAGGCCCAGCTCATTGCCATAGCACTGGTGAACAAAATGCCAGAGTTCCTTCGGACACAAAGGCTGCAGGGAAGAAGGCTCGTTAATATGAGATGGACACTGAGAAGATGCTTAACAGACAGAGATGAGCATTGAAAAGGTTAGCAGGTACAGAAGGGTGGTAAGAAGCAGGTTAGTTAACTACAGGTGGACATTGAGAAGGAGGACAGTGGATAAAAATGGACACCGAGAATGTGGTTATCACAGATGGAGTGAAGGAGCAGATTAAAGAATACAAATCCACAATGGTTAAAAGGTTAGCGGACAGAAAGAGGTTGAGAAGGTGGTCAGCGGACAGAAATTGAGGTTGAGAAGTTGGTCAGCGGACAGAAACGGAGGTTGAGAAGGTGGTCAGGAAGGTTAGCGGACAGGAATGAAGGTTGAAAAGAAGGTTAGCGGACAGGAATGGAGGTTGAGAAGGTTAGCGGACAGGAATGGAGGTTGAGAAGAAGGTTAGCGGACAGGAATGGAGGTTGAGAAGAAGGTTAGCGGACAGGAATGAAGGTTGAGAAGAAGGTTAGCGGGCAGGAATGGAGGTTGAAAAGAAGGTTAGCGGGCAGGAATGGAGGTTGAAAAGAAGGTTAGCGGACAGGAATGGAGGTTGAGAAGGTTAGCGGGCAGGAATGGAGGTTGAGAAGAAGGTTAGCGGGCAGGAATGGAGGTTGAGAAGAAGGTTAGCGGACAGGAATGGAGGTTGAGAAGAAGGTTAGCGGACAGGAATGGAGGTTGAGAAGAAGGTTAGCGGACAGGAATGGAGGTTGAGAAGAAGGTTAGCGGACAGGAATGGAGGTTGAGAAGAAGGTTAGCGGACAGGAATGGAGGTTGAGAAGAAGGTTAGCGGACAGGAATGGAGGTTGAGAAGCAGGTTAGCGGACAGGAATGAAGGTTGAGAAGAAGGTTAGCGGACAGGAATGGAGGTTGAGAAGGTTAGCGGACAGGAATGGAGGTTGAGAAGAAGGTTAGTGAAAACACATGTCAAAAAGAAAACAGACAGGGACCGGTGTTGAGAATAAAGTAGAGACAGATGGTAATACAACATACAGATACAAAGAAGGTTATTACAAAAGGATGTTGAGAAGAGGTTGAGAAGGTGGTCAGCGGACAGAAACGGAGGTTGAGAAGGTGGTCAGCGGACAGAAACGGAGGTTGAGAAGGTGGTCAGCGGACAAGAAACGGAGGTTGAGAAGGTGGTCAGCGGACAAGAAACGGAGGTTGAGAAGGTGGTCAGCGGACAAGAAACGGAGGTTGAGAAGGTGGTCAGCGGACAGAAATGGAGGTTGAGAAGGTGGTCAGCGGACAAAAACGGAGGTTGAGAAGAAGGTTAGCGGGCAGGAATGGAGGTTGAGAAGAAGGTTAGCGGGCAGGAATGGAGGTTGAGAAGAAGGTTAGCGGGCAGGAATGGAGGTCGAGAAGAAGGTTAGCGGACAGGAATGAAGGTTGAAAAGAAGGTTAGCGGACAGAAATGAAGGTTGAGAAGAAGGTTAGTGAAAACACATGTCAAAAAGAAAACAGACAGGGACCGGTGTTGAGAATAAAGTAGAGACAGATGGTAATACAACATACAGATACAAAGAAGGTTATTACAAAAGGATGTTGAGAAGATGGTGTTCAGACAAAGAAATGACACAGAGAAGAGTTGAACAGAAATGAACACTGGGAAGAAGATGAGTGGGCAGAGATGAGGAACAACATAAGGTGTCACAAGTGTTAAAAGACAATATTCTACCTTTTCGAGCAAAGCATTCTGCCAGAGCCGGAACATCATCATGTAGGTTCGATCTCTTGCCCCAAATGAGGTGAAAAAGTGCTGTAAAAGAAAGGTGTGTGTAAAGATAATTTTACATATTTTTCCAAACCAGGACTACTGAGCTTGTGGGTCACCCATTACTCTAATACCGTTCTGTGTAAGGAAAAGAAATTAAAGGAAAAAAAAGGAAAAGGAATGAGTACAGAAATTTGTACTTCTTACCTTCTCAGTGTCAGTGCAAAGTTGGATTGCATTTGGAATTAGTCTGGCTGTCTTTTCTTTAGTCATTGAGCAGATATCCTTCAAACGTACTGTTAACTAGGAGACAAAAGTTACAATTTACTTCTAGACAGAGCAAAAACTAGTCTGATAAATATTGAGCAAAAAGGACAATTCCCTATTAATTAGCTCTAAAACTTATAGAGAGGCAAATTAAGAAGCACTACTGAGCACAGTCTTTGGTCTTTATCAACACAGACTACCTGCCTCATGAAGTCAGTTCTGCTATAGCCAATTATAAGTGGGATGTGTCTCTAAACAACATCCAAAAGGCGATTTAATTTCAAGAGCAGTCATTTTTACAAATAGGTATAGACGCATCTGCAAACAAGAAAGAAGGTATGCAGCAGGGGGCACCCATTGACAGAATGGTAGCACTCTTGGACAGATCTGTTAGAGGGAGCACATATGCAACAAAAAAGTGCCTTCAGAAGAGGGGAAATCACAGTTCAGGAACAAAGATAGTTCCTAATAGGCTGGGAAGTGGGCATATCCATTCAATCTCTTTGGTCTTGTTCACAGCAAAGTACTATAGCATACTCCTGGGCAAGGGCCTGGTTTGCCTGCAAGGAGATGCACAGGTGTCCGGTGCATACGCGCCATGCAGGCAGTCCCCATTCATGTCTACTGGGACGCAGCAGCTGCTTCCAATCTGACAGCTATGTGAGTGCAGGTGCACAACCTTGAATGCAGACAGTGTGTGTTTGGGGTAGTGCACCCGCACCCACACAGCTGTCGAATTGGGAACAGCAGCCATATTCGTGCAGCCACTGCATCCCAATAGACTTGGATAGGACCTGCCTGCATGGGGATGCACGTAACACCTGTGCATCCCCTTGCTGGCAAACACGCCCCTTGCAATTGTATGCCCGTGTGAACGAGGCCTTTGAACTCCTTGTAACCATGGTTTGATTAAAGTGTATCTAAATCCAAAGCCTTTTATTTTGCTTTAGAGTGGTGAGAGATGAACAACCCTGTCAATTGTCATACTGCTGTGTTCCTGCAGGGGATATTCACCCCCCCTATCTGAGCTTGCAGCCATTGTCACCTGAAAGTGAGGGACAATGCAAAAAACTTTGGGTTGTCACTGGGACAGGAATAGAGGGGAAATCTTCCAATGGGGATACTTGCTGCAGTTACAAGGCATTTCCCTCAATTTGGAGAGATCTTCTGACTTCCTGTAGTGTCAGGACAGGACGTGAATAACAAGCTCTCCAAAACAAACAGCGCTGCTCTGATACCTTTTTCCTTTTTTAGTCATTCTGTCAGCAGTCAGTTTTTTTTCCCACAGCAGAGAAAGCAAGCCCTAAGCACAAGTCAGCTCAGAGAGACAAAGGCCTGTGGATGGATGATTAATTAGATAGGTCTGACGAACAAGTAAAACTTGGAACTAGGAATGAAGGCATTATCCCACACAAAACTCTATACAGCCTCCAGGCTCCAGAATAGAACTTGTTAATGTCTGAGAAAACAATTGCCCCCCCCCCCCCCCCCCCATTACAGGCACAAATTTTGGAGCCCCTCACCATGTGTAGGTGAGAATCCTACAGTAGGTGACACACATACACCATCCACAACCCTTTTACGCAGTGCCTCACCCGTCCTATACACTCAGGTGTCCTTTTATCATGCAGCGGTAAATGACCGTTGCTCGGTTCTCTGGCATTCTCAGAGGAGACAGTTCTCCTCTCAATGCCTTTTCACGAAGCGGTGTATATCGCTTCTCCGAATGAGGAGAGACGCGATCTACAAACGCTTTGAATGCCAGAAAATGGCAACTTTTACTGCAATCTCACGAGATGACAGTAAGAGATCAGTCAAACACAGTTTACTAAGCAGCCACTACTTCGTTTGTGTTTCCCCCGACTCTCCACCTCTGGGCTGGGGAATCTGGAGCACACAGATCACCAGTGAAGGGCTGATATCGCTCCTTCATACACTGGCCGTCTGTTCTCCGTCTGTTCTCACATGTTCTCCGCTGATCTGTTTCCTAAACCACTAATGAGCTGAGATCAGCAACGATCCTTAGGATTGCCGCTGATCTCAGTTTCATAAAAGGACACCTAAATGCTATTGAAGGACTCACAAAGAGAAAAGAAAAAGATTTGCATCTTACTGACCAGAGTCTCCCAGCGAAAGATGTTACTGTAGAAGCATATCCAGTTCTCAGACAGGTAAAGGCGCCCCTGTAGTAAAATGTCCCTCTGCAGAGCACAGGAATAGTCTAAACACACAGAGACACAGCAAGTCAACAGACCGAAAATGCAATTGTACCCTTTTTAACAGCAAGTTGTTTCAATAGATTTTGACTGGTATAAAAGGAGCACAGCAAATTGATTATACTATGGTAAACTGGAATCTGATGGTAGCCATGGGTCCAATTCTTGCTGCATTCTAGCTTCCACAGCATTATTTAGCTCAATGGAGACTCCTTCCCTTAGTTTAGGTTAGTTTTTTTAATGGAGATGAGTAGACTGGACCTGGCACATCACAGGTTATGGCCTTTCAGAGATCTGTCTTCTCAAAGATCAAAACATAAACCTGCTAGTTACTGGCCAGTTATTATTCCAAAAATGCTTCAGGTACAGGAAAATATTGGATGACCCGCCAGAAATCCAGTGAGCTCTTCTTATAGTGAGATAACCAAGCTGCCTCTGCACCACTGAAATCCTAAGAAGCAAAAGTTACACACAAGCACATAACATTCATCCCCCAAAAAAGTTTTGAGGCCCCCACATATAGGCACGTACAAACGTAAACGCACGTGGCGGGGGGGGTGCCTACACGGGAAAGTGCCGATTGCGTTACACGTTACATATTGCTGTGCACGCCAGAGTGAGAGCAATAATTATAGCACAAGATCTCCTCCGTAACCCTAAACTGATGACCTGTAGGGGCTTTTGAAGCGTCACCTATAGAAAATATAGGATACTGAAGATTGTCACCATTCCATAGGCGCACACAAATTTAAAGTGTTACTAAACCCACAACATGAAAGTCTGGTTATACTCACTATGGCACCTAAGGGGTTAATCCTCTGCATTGTGTAAAAAGGCTGTTTGATCCTGACTTCTCTGATCCTGCCCTTCTTCCAGTGTCCCCCTCTTATCTCCTGATAATACATATCGTGTGGAGTCACTCTGCACATGCTCAGTTTGGTGTGTTGCTAGAGAGGTTTATTTTTTTCTTCTTGGGAGGGTGCATGTGATCAGCAGATGGTCAATCAGCACTGTCCAGACAGAGGTCAGGGGTTCTGCATCCTCCTAAAGCAAAATTAAAACTCCTTCTACAAGCTTTAACCAGTGCTCTGCTTGACACTGATAGAAGATACAAAACTGCTCCAACTGCTGATGAGAAAAGGTATTTAACAGTTTATATTTACTAAAATAATTGCATTTCCATGTTGTGTGTACTGTGGGAGACCAGATATAGTGAATTTCACTGTCCTGGGTTTAGTAACAATTTATGGTTGGGTATCCATTTACTCAGCGCAATCTCATCTTTCACCAAACATTTGGGTAATTTATTGCGTTTGTCCTAAAATTCACATTTTACTGAAATGTTGCATTTTCTAGACCTTTGCAGTAATATTGTGTGACATAAAAAAATTGGAACTACCACTCTAGGGGTTTTTTTTTTCAGAAAATATAAAATGCTTGGGGGTTTTTGCAATCTTCAGGCCTAAAATGATTTTTTTATATATGTGTACAAAAAAATGAAAAAGAGAAAAAAAAAAAAAAAAACACACAAGTCTGGCAGCGAAAGGGCTGAAGAAGGCATAAATAAATACTGGTGTAGTTCCTCCATCAGCATCAACACTTTGAGGGTTGATTTACTAAAGCAGAAATAGACTGTTTGCTTTGCAAGGGAAGTTGCACTTTCCAAGAGAATTATCCCCAGACCTTAGCGAATGTGGTGAAGCTCTGCTGACTCCATGTTTTTTATTTTTCTTGCACATGATCGGGTATTGGTGAAATTTCACCACATTCACTAACCTCTGGGAGAAAAGTCCCTTGCAAAGTACAACTTCCCTGTCAAAGTGAACCCTTTAGTTAAATTAACCCCTGTACTTCCACAACTGTCGGCATCTGAAACGCAGCCCTGAATGACCTGGGATCACTGCACACACTGAATGGCTTGCTTCTGGCTTCTTACCAACAATGAGGCGCTCTGTATCTGGCAGTTGTTTAAACAGTTTCCGAAAATCTTCATTTCTTTGTTTATACGTCGGACTCAGAACCTGGAGATACAAACGGTACACACACTTAGAAGAAGCAGCCTAGGAGGGAGCACAGGGTGGTGGCAGCGATAAGATGACAAATAAAGAGAGACAAAACAAATGACGTGTTATTTGTTGAGTGGGAGCCAGAAACATGCAGACACCATTCTCTGTATATATTACATAATAGGGATACATTGTGTATAATACATTGGGGTTTAGTTACTAAAACTGGAGAGTGCAAAACTTGATGCAGCTGTGCAGAGAAACCAATCAGCTTTCAGGTTTTAGCCCGGGTTCAACTGATGCGGTTCAGCACACACCACATGTGACTGGCACAGGAATCGCACTGCATTCCTGTGTGAATTACATGCAATGTCTGTGCGGTGCGATTTGAGCCATACATTCTGTATGGCTCAAATCGCATCCATCCGCACCAAAAAGGCGCAGGACCTTTTTTTTTTTTTAATTTTGTACCTGGACCTAAATCACATCGCATGGGTATTCTCACCCATGTGATGCCATTTCCGTTGATCACATTGCATTTTGCGATCTGTTTTGGGGTGTCAATTTAACAAGGACACCTGCAGCAGATCGCATGAATGCCATGCGATTGCAAAGCAGTTCGGGAGACACACAGAATTTGCAGTTTCCCGCACCGCATCAGTGTGAACCTGGTATCATTGTCAAAGTTTAATTGAAGAAGCTGAAGTTAGAAGCTGATGGGCGACCATGCACAGCTGCATTAGATTTTGTACTCTCCAGTGTTAGGAAATCAACCCCATTGTGTCAGAGTGCCTAAATAGTGGGCCATGTGAAGAAATGCACAGGGGAAGGAGGGTGATGAGTGCACCCCATTATCTGTGCAGGGTGACCTCATTATCAGGGTACAGTGACCGCTCTCTGACGATTGTGAAATACAAGAAGTAAAATTTTTGGCTGCAGAAACATGACGGAAGAAGAGAAATTGGCAAAGCATAATGTGTAATTAGTGCAAATGTCACCCATGGATCTGACAATGGAGAGCCCTGTTTGAGTTTTTCAGACAACTTCCACATTACAGAGGACCTGTCTTGTGGCATTTTACCAGAGAGATTGTATGCAGACACCAGGTACTCGGTCTCTTAACATTCCTTTGTATTCAAACTGCATCACCACCCTTTATGTGAAACCATCCAGCTCTGCCACAATCACTGACCTAGCTGGTTTTGGCATGTGAGTGTTGACTTTTCAAAGCAAATTTGCTTTTCTCACATTTAAAATAAAGCTGAATTCCAGGTATATATATACAAAGCACTAATTAATGCAGCTCAGTAATCAAATACATCATGAATTGTATTTTATCAAAGCAACCAGTGTTAGTAGCTGATGACCAATAACAGCATTTAGCAATCCCCGCACAGCAGTGCTCAGGCTGGCAGAGGGAGAAGTGCAAGGTTCCAATCAGGTGTGCTTTAGTGCTCATGTGCAAACAAGGTCCATGCTGAAAGGAGGAGAGAGCAGAGTGATGGAAAGATGAGCTCATCATTCTGCTGCTTCTCCTTTCTCAGTCACTGGTTGGGGGACGGACAAGACCTGTACGTTTTACTGAACTGCAGCAGAGAGCAATCAGGTCTCCTCTGCCTTCAGACAGGGCTGTGCTGTGTAGGTCTTGGGAAAGGATGTAGAGAATTGGGGAAGAGAGAAACCACAGCTGTCCCAACAACAGAATACAAGATATGTTACAAAGGTTATATAAACAGGGGTTAAAATTTTGAGTCCAGACCTACAAGCAGATATATATATATATATATATATATATAATATATATATATATATATACACATATACATACACACACTTGTATATTCCAGTCACAAAGTGGACATTTACAATGTGTATTATAGTAGCACAGAGGAATTGGTTGTGTTACCAGCAGAAACTAAATCAGACATGGACTGTGATTTTTATCATGAGGGTTACAAAACATCTCATATTACTTTTTATCAGTTTTTTATTACCATTGTCCCCACAGAGTTCTATTAATAGAAGGCTATCAGACAGGAAGAGATGTATGTACACTTGACCCAGTGGGTTGCACAAGACAAGAAAAAAAAACCTGACAGCTCAGGAGGAGCCACTGAACTACAGTCATGGCCGAAATTGTTGGCACCCTTGATATTTTTCCTGAAAATCAAGTATTTCACACAAAAAAGGTATTGCATTAACACATGTTTTGCTATACACATGTTTATTCCCTTTGTATGTATTGGAACAAATATAAAACAGAGGCAGAAAAGCAAATATGACATAATGTCACACAAAACCCCAAAAATGGGCTGGACAAAAGTATTGGCACCCTTAACTTAATATTTGGTTGCACCCTTTGGAAAACATAACTGAAATCAGTCGCTTCCTATAACCATCAATAAGCTTCTGACACCTCTCACCCGGAATTTTGGACCACTCTTCCTTTGCAAACAGCTCCAGGTCTCTCTTATTGGAAGGACACCTTTTCCCAACAGCAATTTTAAGATCTCTCCACAGGTGTTCAATGGGATTTAGATCTGGGCTCATTGCTGGCCACTTCAGAACTCTCCAGCGCTTCTTTGCCATCCATTTCTGAGTGCTTTTTGACGTATGTTTGGGGTCATTGTCCTGCTGGAAGACCCAGGATCTTGGACGCAAACCCAGCTTTCTGACACTGGGCCCTACAGTGCGACCCAAAATCCTTTGGTAATCCTCAGATTTCATGATGCCTTGCACACAGTCAAGGCACCCAGTGCCAGAGGCAGCAAAACAACCCCAAAACATCATTGAACCTCCACCATATTTTACCGTAGGTACTGTGTTTTGTTCTTTGTAGGCCTCATTCCGTTTTCGGTAAACAGTAGAATGATGTGCTTTACCGAAAAGCTCTATCTTGGTCTCATCTGTCCACAAGACGTTTTCCCAGAAGGCTTTTGGCTTACTCAAGTACATTTTGGCAAACTGTAGTCTTGCTTTTTTATGTCTCTGTGTCAGCAGTGGGGTCCTCCTGGGTCTCCTGCCATAGCGTTTCATTTCATTTAAATGTCGACGGATAGTTCGCGCTGACACTGATGCTCCCTGAGCCTGCAGGACAGCTTGAATGTCTTTGGAACATGTTTGGGGCTGCTTATCCACCATCCGGACTATTCTGCGTTGCAATCTTTCATCAATTTTCCTCATCCGTCCACGACCAGGGAGATTAGCTACAGTGCCATGGGTTGCAAACTTCTTGATAATGTTGCGCACTGTGGACAAAGGCAAATCTAGTTCTCTGGAGATGGACTTGTAACCTTGAGATTGTTGATATTTTGCCACAATTTTGGTTCTCAGGTCCTCAGACAGTTCTCGTCTCCTCTTTCTGTTGTCCATGCTTAGTGTGGCACAGACAGACACACAATGCAAAGGTTAAGTGAACGTCTCTCCTTTTTATCTGCTTTCAGGTGTGATTTCTATATTGCCCACACCTGTTACTTGCCCAGGTGAGTTTACAGGAGCATCACATGCTTGTAACATTCTTATTTATCCGCAGTTGTGAAAGGGTGCCAATACTTTTGTCCAGCCCATTTTTGGAGGTTTGTGTGACATTATGTCGAATTTGCTTTCTTTCCTCCCTTTTTTTGTTTTGTC